GAGAGGGAAGGGCAGAGCTCAGTGGTAGAGTGTGTGCTTAACATGTATGAGGTCTTGGGTTCAATCCCCAGTACCTCCATTAAAAAAAAAATCTAATTACCCCCACCCCCAAAAAACCCCCCAAATTAGAAATAATCCTTTTCAGAAGTATGCTTTCCTGAACATATCATTCCTGTGAAGTCGTTGCAGAATGCCATGCCGGCTTCTGATACTCCGTCTTTCTGGAAGGAGGACTGATCTCTCCAAGTCCGCGTTTGCCGATGGGCAGAAGCATGGGCGCCCCTGGGCCCTTTTGTAGCCCCTGGGCTGAGAGATTCCCCTTCAGGGTTTAAGCTGAGGCTGCCGAGGGGACCTGCCTGCTTCTTGCCAGATTCCTGTGTCTGCCTGACATGTCTCTCGTGTAGCACCGTGGGAACTGGGAGAAATCTCGGCACCTCTGACGCTGGGGAGGATAATGGAGCCCTTGATCATTTGAAGTCTGGAAATTGTCTCCTGCCAAAATTACCTCGTGAGAAGCCACTCTTTAGAATACGCTGTTCCCTCAGCCCTGCCAATGCTGCCCCCTTTGACCTTTGATCTCACAGCCCAGTGGCAGAGTGCCACCGCTTGTCCTAACCCTGCTGTGCTGCTGGGAGTCGTGGTCTCCAGAGGGAGGCAGAAAGACAGGACTGGACAGAAGGAAGGGTGGGGCAGGTGAAAGCTGGGGCCGCATCAGGACACCGTCCTCACTGGGTGGCTCCAATGCCCTACATCCAGGATGCTTAGCCCACTCAAGTGGATGGCGAAACCCACTCTTCACCTTTTACCAGCCTGGCTCTGCTTTCCTGTTTCAGAATCTAAGCACGATGCAGCAGTTAAAACTTCTCAGTCCCACCTACGCTGGGCCCCTCCCAGAGATGGCACGTCGTGAATTACCATGCTCAGCTTGTATTATGCTCTGTGTGTGTGTTCAAGGATGATACATTTGTTTGCTCATTCACTTGCTCAGCAAAGATTTGTGGGGAGCCTCTTCTGTGCCAAGGACTTTTCCAGTCTCTGGAGATACTGTAGTGAGTAAAATAGTCATCTCTTTCCTTGCAGCTTTCAAAGGTGAAATAATAAATTACTTAAAACTCTGACCAATGATACGAGGGAAAGTATAGGAAACTGAAAGAAAATACAGAGGCAACTTCCTTAGATGGAGCAGTTGAGACAAGCCTTGCTGAAGAGGTGACATTTAGACTGAGATCTAGGGACAGGGAAGGGTTCAGGCTGGCAAGGAATGAAGAGGGTGCTGCAAGCAGAGGGAACAGCATGAGCAAAAGGCTTGAGGCGAGAAAGTGCTTGCTGTGTCTGAACTCAAGGGGAGCCAGGGGGCCTGGAGCATGGCTTACCCAAGAGAAAAGTGATGTCAGGTGAGGTCAGAAAGGTAGGTGTGGGTCAGATAATGCAAAGCCTGCAGGGAGATTTTTTAATTTGGACACACAAATTCTTTGGTACTCATCCCTTCAAAGTATGAATCCTAATTTCTCTCCCTCTAGTGCAATTTATCCTTAATGGCTAGAATGTGGTAGAAGCGGTGGTGTATGATGCTGGAAATTAGGGCAGAAAAATACACTGCTCTTCCTCTTTGCTCTCGCTTGGATCACTTGCTCTGGAAGAAACCAGCTGCTTTATCATGAGGACGCACAAGCAGTCCTATGAAGAGATCCACATGGCTGAGACCCCCCCACCAGTTGCCAAGAGAGGGTGCCGTTTTGGAAGCAGGTTCTCTAGTCCCGGGCAAGTCCCAGCCAAGATCTTGACATAACCTTATGAGAGAGCCTGAGTCAACCCCTCCCAACTAAGCCGCTCCTGGATTCTTGGCCCACAGAATAAATGTTTGTTGTAGGCTGCTAAATTTTGGGGGTAGTTTGTTATGCAGCGATTGATAACAGATACATTTGGTAGACCATATTAAGGAATGTAAATATTTGTAAATGGAAAGAGAAGTCATTGAAGAGTTTTGAGCAGGACAACTGCATAATCAGATTTACTGTTTAAAAAGAATCATTCTGGTTGCTGCATGAAGAATAGTTTCAAGATGACCAAAAGTAAAAGTGATAAGCCCTCCTGAGGCTGAAACAGTCAGAATACATTTGGCTACAAGAGCCTGAAATTCCCACCCCAAACTAACTTAAACAGTAAGGACATTTATTAGTTCCTCTTTAAAGAAACCCAGGTGTGGGGTGAGTGTTGAGGAGTGACATCAGTGGCTCACCAATATCATCAGGACCCCAGCTCTTTTTGTCCCTATTCTGCCTGTCTTGGAGTGTTGGCTTTGTCCCCAGACTCACTTCTTTCATGGGGGCCAGATGACTGTCAGGATTCCAGATGTCATATCTGGAAATAACAAAGTCCAGCGGAAGCAAAGTCTGCCTCTTTCTAAGTGTCTCTTCTTAGGCGTGTGGGAGCCTTTCCCGGAAGCTGTCAGCAGGCTTCCTTTCACTTATCGTCGATGGGAAATTCCATCCATGCTCCTGGCTAATCGATCCTGGACAAGGTCACCGTGGACCATCATGATTGATTGGCTCAGGCTGGCTCTGATGGTGGCTTGGAGTAGAACTGTGGCAAAGAGATAGAAATAAATAGATGGATTTGAGAAACCAGGAAGAGAAAGGAATTGTGTATGGTCCTTAGGTTTTGGGCATGAGGAACCAGGGTTATAAGACCATTTTCTAAGATGAGAAGCTGAGGGGAGGCAGCTCTGTGCAATGGGGGAAATAAAGAGTTTGTTTGCTGTTTCTATGGGCAGGGCTCATCAGGCCCAGTTTGCTAACTACCATCCTATACCTGAAGGAAGCAGTACCTTTGCTTCCAGGATGGATTCACCAATGGTAAATGTCTAGCACCACAGCAGGCCGGCTAGGGGAGTACATGCAGGGAGGAGGGCTTTCTAACTAAACCACAAAGGCTGCAGCAATTTCTTTTTACTACTAAGGTTTCCTTTAATGATTTTTGTTAAAGACATTAATTGATAACATAAATTGGGGCATGGGTTTCAGTGAGTGTCCTTGGATCATTTTCTCTGCAGTGGACACTTTCATTAGCTCTCTTGGCAGCCAGATGCATTACCTTACAACTTCCATGAATAACAAATGACATGAGCATTTGCCTCTAGGTTGTACTTTCTATTTTTAAAGCTCTTTGCCACATTAATGGATTGTTCCATAAATGTATAAAAAGCTAGAGAAAAGAAACATTCTCATCACATTTTCATACCCTGTATTATTTTAAATGCAGTTAAGACCGAAACGCTATGTGAGAACTTAGTTCGATGAAGCTTTCTGGAATCTCTACTGTTCCAGGCACTATCCTAGGTGCTGAGGGGACAATTACAATAGTAGGGGCTCAATCAATACTGTTGACTTGTTGAATGAGTAGGCTTAGATGTACTTCGATAAGAGAGAGATAAGAAAGGCCTACGATCCATGGGAAAAAAATGACATTTTCCCTCTTTGGCAGACTTTCCTCATTCTAGAGATGATGGCAAAAGATCACCCTAACCCTTGAGTCCTGGGATTTTAAAAGAAAACTGCCAGAGTTGAGATCTGATTGGATCTTACTGGGCGCAAGTCAGATTCCTTCCTTCCTTCCTTCCTTCCTTCCTT